TACGGCATCCTATAAATACTGCAGCCACATGTGCATGAACCACCCTTATCTGCTTATGTCTCTGATGATGGATTCGAGCAGGAATCCGAAACGTCAGGCTAATAAAGCTCTTGTCCCGGCGATCGTGTCTTCTTCTTCAATACATAAACAGTATTTGAAGGCATATGAAGTCCGTTTGGTGATAAATACTGTAGGTATTTGAAGCACACCTAAGCTACAGAGAAAGTAATAAGATTTGAGTTTGTAAGCAGCATGGTGAATGCCAGCAGAAGTTTCAACTGTGTCCCAAGTTTTAATACATTATATAAACAAATGTTACGTAAATATTGATAGTAGTATCATGGTCGCATTAAATTTTAAACATGGGTTATCAAGACGGCAGCGGTCGGGTGGCATTGTTGTGCGCACTCCAATGTTTATCCAGCTTCCTTTTAAAAGTTTCTACGGATCCCGACAGAACGTCCTCTGACATAGCATTACAAGCTGCAATCACTCTGTTGTAGAAGACATTTGCTGCGTCTAACTATGCACCAGTCACACGTAGTTTGAATGGGTGACCTCTCAATTTAGTCGTAATCGCCAACTTGAAGAAGTCTCCTGATATGAGGTGGCAGTCCTGATTGCGCAGGATGCGTAAAGCTTGTATTAGGTCACCTCGTAGCTGTCTGTGCTTCGAAGGCAATAGATCAAGATTAGCTAATGTCGTTTCGTATAGTAATGACCCCTCTTCAGTTACAAGTTTGGTTGCTTGCCGTAGAACATTTTCGAGTATGCTGAGGTCTTTAGCGGTTCGGGGTCTCCCTGCTTGAAAAGTAAACTCCAGATGCGGCCGAAAAGAAGTTCGAAAAACCTTGGCGAAATAGTGCTCATCAAAGGAAGAGGACGCTTTGTGAAGAGGTATAGGATGAACTTCGCCGGCCTGGCTACCTTTGAGCAGTGCAGCGAAGGCTTGAGTGAGGTTGTGATTCACACACCGAAACTCCTCTGCGCGCCGACTTCTTACAATGTTTTGCCAGTCAGGCGGTATACTATGCGGTTAGGAGAACTAGTTCCGCCGGCTCGTAGGACATTGCACTTATTTACGTTAAACGGCAAAAGCCAGTCGTTCGACCATTGCTCGAGGCGGTCTAGGTTTGTCTTCAATCGCGCTTCGTCACCTGCAATGATACTCCCAATTCTTTATATCATAAGCAAACATTTAGACAGCGCAATCCAGTTCGTCTGTAAGTCGTTGATGTGTTTAATTAACAGAGAAACGCCAAGAGCGGAGCCTTAGGGAACACCACTCTCAACGGCAGCCTCCGCAGACTGCTGGTCACTTACCTGGACGACTTGAGAGTGGCCATGTAAAAAGCTTCGAATCCACATTAAAAGCTTACCTCTTACTCCTATACAGCTGAGTTTTATAGAAGTCGATGGTGAGGCACATTATCAAAGGCAGATATTGACCACATTCACCATATTCCGTCTATCAACAGCCCGAGTTCAGTGTTCCAGACAGTAGAGCGAGTTTATCGCACAGGACCTGTCTTTGCGGAATCCATGCTGGAAATTCGAAAGAAGATGGTTTTGTTCAAGGAACTGCTAGTTGAGAGTAGGCATAGCCCATCGACCACAAGCAACAATTCGACGTCGCCTAATCCAGCCTAAGGAATTAGCAACACACGTTGGAGAAACGGGGCACACTTCTGACCTCCAGAGGGCCACCATCTTAGGCCGAGGCAACACAAAAACAGAACGGCTAACTCTCGAGGCGTGGTTCTCCGATGCCCACTCTATCAACAGGCATCTGGACCTTCCTGCAGCTTACAAAGTCCTACGTCATCACAATCGTAGAGCTCAGGACCAAACAACCACATCGGACTTAAGAAGGCCGCACGGAGATAGCCCGACGCTGAGTTTACTCGGTGAGGAAGAACAAGAACCGCCAGACCGACCGCCCAACAGAGGTTAACTTATCTCCCCTGGACGGAGTGGGGACTCACAAAGCACACAGGCAAAACGCCCGTCAACCATCTCCCGAGAGGCCGAGGCAGCGAGAGGAGGAAAAATCGATCAGCATGAGGCCGGCCAACACAACTGCCACTTTAAATTAAATTTCCGATCGATAAAGTGCATTTTACGTTTTGACAATGAAGAGCCGACCCAGCTCTTTGAAACGTCAGCACTTAAATAAACTTCTTCCGGAGAGCCTGTCTTCGTCTTCAGTTAAGCAACCCGGATATCTCAACTTTGTCAATCTGAGAAGATGGTTTTGTTCAAGGAACTGCATCAATTGTCGCTTTATTATCTACTCCTAAATGTCGCAACAAGTGTTACAATTTAGTAATAATAATGACTGAATTTAATGTCTCTTTGAAGGTATCGTCAAAAAAGGTATTGCATTGTTGTGCTTTTACTCCGATGACTACCTTAAAGCATCTTGACAACCCTCACGTTACAGCAACCGCGATGTCTTTTTATTTCCTCCTCTGGCACGTACAAATAACTATCGCCAGTTATTTTCTTTTAGCAGAATTGCTCCCCGGAGCAAGTAACACCAGCAATTAGTCATATCTCTATCGCTTTTCCATTTCTATTGTGCCGACACGTCTTCCGCTGTAAGTGCTATAGTTAATCTTACTGTTACCGAAATGCACCCTCCTAGGCAGTACGTCTCAGGTAAATATTTTGTCAGTTCCTAGGGGTTTGTTCGGAGCGATTTCTTATCTGCTGTCTCTCATGTTGATTCAAAGGAGAACATAATGAAAACCTCGCGGAAGGTAAAAACTGTCTTTCTTAAAAGTGTGTTTAGAACCCGCAGAGGTTGCGCAACGGTTGTCAAGCTTGACGGCTGAGTCATCCTATTTGGCGCTGATTTATCGCGTGTAGAAGGCATGGGAGGGCATGAAAGCTCAAGGTAGCAATCGTTCTAGGACTAAAACAGCCAAACAGGATGCGTAATTTCAAACTCTGTACTAATGGCGTCCTTGGTACTGGCATTGCTAGTAATCATGTCAACTCAACGGATCCAAATACTGCTTTTAGAAAAGGCCTTAAACTTTACTGAGTCTTTTGTTTCTACATATACTGTAGTTAAAAAAATAACATATGGCCAAAATATACTTGCGGTTTTCGGCAGAGATAGATGTATTGCCTTCATAAATTACTTCAAAAAACGCCGGACCCTGTGGTTGTATGCTTTGCACCTGCACTATGTTATTATCTTTTAGTTTATTACTTTCCTCTAACTTAAATCGCCCACTGTATCGGACATACAGTGGGTGGCCGATCTCATGAAATGTTGGCTGAAATTCTGAAATGCGTTTTTGATTAGGAAGGGTTACTTGGTTGCGGTTGTAATACTGATCATCTGAAGGCATACTCTTATGGCATTTCGGACTCGGCAGGATGTCGGCTTTTAAATGCACTTCTTTTCAATCTCCTGTGGAAAGCGTGTTCGGTAAAAAAAAATGACTACTTAACTAGCAGGCATTTTTCTTATTGATTTTCAATGGTTTACAAATTCAAATATATTTTATAAAAACCATTAACGAAATATGCTTTTTTTAGTCAATCAATAAAGAATAACGTCCTCTTTATATTTTATACTTAAAGAAGGAGTATAATAAGGTTTTAAAAAAGTTTTCTAATTGCCGAATAATTTGGAGCCTGATCATTCGTTGCATTAGCGCTTAGTGATTTCACTCTACAAGGTGCATACGTTCCGCGTAAATAAAATCAAATATTTTTCTATGCCATTAAAGAGATATCATACAGATTC